CCCAGAAGGCCACCGCCCCCACCACCTCCACTTCCACCAAGCAGACCCCCCAGGAGAGGTCCTCCACCATCACCACCAGCTTTACCCATGGGCACCTCTCTCAGGGCTGAGCGGAGAGCATCACTCTGCTGCAGGGTGCCTGAAATGGCTGCAGAGAAGCAAAGGCATTAGTGAGGGCTTCCTCCCCCAGGCGCCACCTCTGGCCCACTCCTTGGCTCTCTGGGCCCCACCTTTCCCACCAGTAGAATGTCAAGGTCAGATGGGAAGACTCCCCCAGACCAATCCAGCCCTGACATTCAGGTGGGCTCACTGACTGCTAACCTGGACCTGCTCTTGCTTTAACTAGATTTCAACATCATTCACCGAACCTGGAAAGATTTTCTTCCTTCTACTCCCTTTCAAGTGCTCCACACTTTAGAGCTTATAAACCTGCTTGGATGGCATCAGGGCAGGTCTTTGTTTGCCAGATGACAAAAATGAGCTCCCAAGAATTAAAGGGGGGAATAATTACAGCCCCCACATTTGAAGGCCTTCAATGTATGTACCAGGAACGGGACCACGTTTTCAGAAGGCTACCTCGTTCATTCTCAAACCAGTCCTCTATGACGGGGGCCACAATCACATCCATGTTGCAGACGAGAAAACTGAGGCTCAGAGAATTCAAGTTGTGGACTTAAGGTCGGTCAGTATTTGAACCCTGGGAAGGCTGATTCGAGGACCCAAGCTCTTAGTCACTGCTTCTACCGCCTCAGGCATGAAGTCCTCAACATGGTGTAAGTGTGTAGGGAATGGTAACCAAAAGCAAAAGGGGGAATAATTTACCCACCCACCTGACGTGAAGAGGGCCCTTGGGACTTCAGAGTTGGCTGGACTGCCCTGCCCACCCCACGTCACCCCTGACTGCCGCAGGCCTGGACTCACCATTGCTCAGCACGTCTTTGGTAACCCTGAGGACAGTGTTTGTTTCTGCGTGGGTGCCACAGAGAGCTGCCACAGACAGAGCAGCCACGCACCAGGCTGTCCACATGCTGGCACTGCTTCCCTGCTGAGGAGACAGTGCATCAGAGTCACCACCCTGGAAGTAGGTGGAGCTAGGCACTCCCTGCCAAGAATCATATCGGGATCCCGAGGCCCAGGGACATACAAGGCAGGGTCCAGAATTCCCAATACCATCTTCTAAGTTGAATGAATGAAATGAATCTGGAGACACAGAGCAGACCCATTAACCAAACTGTCCTAGAGCCATGGATGTCTGATTATCCCCCAAGATGAAATTTCCAAATGGAGCATCAGAGAGAGAGGTCATGAGGACTCCAACCAAAATAGCAAACTCACAGCAGGCAGACTCTAGGGAGAATCTCTCCAGCATCTACCCGTCTGTTCACCCACCAATCCATCCATCCTCCCATCCACTCTTCCTTCCTTCCTTCCTTCCTTCCTTCCTTCCTTCCATCCATCTGTCCATCCATCCTTCTGTCTACCCATCCACCCCTTCATAAATCCATCCATCCATCCATCCATCCATCCATCCATCTATCCATCCTTCTATCAGTTCATCCGTCTATCAACACATTCATCTAGCCACAATTTCATGCATCCATGCAGCCAAAAATCACTCCTACCTCTTTGAAGGAGACAGTTCTATACCAGGTACTTGAGATTAAGAGCTCTGGATCAGAGCTATCTGGGTTCTAATCCTTAGACAAGAGAGTTTACCTTTTTGAACCTCTGCCTCCTAATCACTAACACACTGTTTCTGGTACATAGTAGGCAATAAACAGCAGTTACTGTTACTGTTTTGGCACTATTATTTTAGACCCCTAAGAAGTGGGTGGGGGGCGCCTGGGTGGCTCAGTCGGTTAAGCGTCCGACTTCGGCTCAGGTCATGATCTTGCAGTCCATGGGTTCGAGCCCCACATCAGGCTCTCTGCTGACAGCTCAGAGCCTGAAGCCTGCTTGGGATTCTGTGTCTCCCTCCCTCTCCGCCCCTCCCCTGCTCACACTCGCTCTCTCTCTCTCTCAAAAATAAATAAACATTAAAAAAAAAAAAAGAAGTGGGTGTGGAGTGTTATCGATTGGGAGCGAGGAAGCATGCATTTTGGGATAAGCTGCTCAGTCTTTAAGAAACCTTATTTTGCTGCCTCTATGCCCTCACCCACTTCTCTCTGTCAACTCTACCTGAGCACCAGCTTCAGAGCACCACGGACTCTCCTCTGGGCCACAGTGTAAAATCATTGGCTTCAGCCCCCTCCACTTACGCACCCTCTTCCCTTTTCCAAAGCCTCCAGGTTTTTCCCCCACTCCATCTACTCCCAGAATATTGGAAGCACTCATTTATACTAGAATATGAAGGGTTAACACGTGCAAAAAAATCTTTTTCTGATTTCCTTACCTCATCCTAACCCACTACCCAGAAAGTTCTCTGTTCAAAGAGGGATCATCACCTTCGGTTAAAAAGATGGCACCAATGGAGGGAGATCTGGCAAGCAGCTGAGGAGTCTCAGAGAAATAGCAAAGGCACCAGATACCCCAAATCCCTGAGAAGTGTAAGTGCAGCTCTGTTAACTCAGGTCACTGGGGTGACTCAGGCCCTTTTCAGAGCCTCCCTGAGAGGCTCTTCTATGCCCATGTTATAGGAAAGACAGAAGAGGCTCAGAGAGGGGTTACGCCGGCAGGTTTCCAGTCTGAGACTCTCCTCATTGCCTCCTGAGGCCTCAGCCTCCTCCCTGCTCAGACACTGAATAGGGGAGGGGCTCCTCCTTACCCTGCAAGGTCCCGGCAGCTCAGTCTTGAGAGATCCTGTTCACCAGGCCCTCTGCTTTTGCCTGAGTCTATTCAGACGCTGGCCTTATATAGCAGCTGGGTCTGAGTCCACACCTAGAGAGGGAAACACCATGTAATTATGAGAGACTAGAATCCAGATTTGCTCTGCAAATCAGACATCGAGCTCCAAAACCACAAATAGCTGCGGTTTGTGGCTAATTCTGAGAGCTACGTTCACTCACTCCCGGATGGTGTCACATGAGCTGAGGTTTATCAGCCCCTGGTCCAGACACGTTACTGGAGACTCCAGCTAGGCCCCTACGTGGGGGAACCAAAAACACCTACAGGTGCATCTGGTTGCCAGCTCTAAGTCAGTCTCTGCCCACTCCAGATGGCCTGGGCAGCCAGGAAGTGCCCCCAGACTGGACTCAGCAGCAGGCTAACTCAGATTCAGACTCAGCTCAACCACCAACTCGCCACATGACCTTGGGCCAGCCACTTCCCTTCTCTGTGCTTCTCATCATTTCCATCTGCTAAATGGGTATAACACCTGCTTCACAGGACTGATTTGAAGATTCAGGGAGATGTATATAGATCTGACTCTCCAAACTTGGGGCTGGTGTGAAGAGAACAAGTAGATGGGCTTCTTTTCACCTGAAGATTTTTCTCCCAATATTTCATTATGAACTGTTCACACATACAGTGAATTTGGAAGAACTGTAAATTGCAGGGAACGGTACATTTCCCTGTAAACACTTCAATACGTATGCCATTGCGATTGTTTTCTTTGGGTGTAAAGCTTACAGACAGTGAAATGCACAAGTCCCAAGTGTTTATTTGTTGAACTTTGACAATTTTATTCAATGATGGAGCCCACACCCCTGTCTCAATATAGAACTTTCCATCACCCCAGAATGTTCCCTCCTGCCCCTTCCCAGGCAACGCCTCCAGAGGCAGCCACTGCCCCTCCAAGACCTGCTGGGACACAGCCCAGGTCCCTTCCTTGGCATCCAAGGTGGGTCTGCTCCTCTCTCCACTCCCCACCTCCGTTCCCTGTCTCTGGGCCTTTGCACGTGCAATATTTGCCACAGAACACCCTTCTCTAGACTCCACTGGTCATAGTCATACAGAAATGTCAGCTACTCTGCAAAGCTTTCTGTGACAACCCCAAGCCTGCCCCTTCCTTGGCCCACCCAGCACCTTCGACAGCCCATGTGATATGGTGTGGCTCTGGCAAACCAGGCATGTGCCCCACCGCCAGCCAGCACAGGCACAGACGCCAGTGTAGGGAACGGACCACGCATGCTCTCACTCCCCACCGGGTGCACTATAAACCATAGAGGGCGGTGCACACAGGAAGGTGGTTCTCTCAGTCGCCTGAGGCTCTGTGCCCTCCTCAGGCCCAAGACCAGCCAGACCCTGGCAGCCATGAGGCTGGCCTGTCCCCTGGGGCACCAAGAGGATTAGTACAGCACTGGCGCCAGGGAGATCACCTGGACTTAGTGTCCAAAAGGCTCCTTTGTCTGGGGCTGAAGCAGCCAGGCCCTGGGAGGTGACTGAGTCACGCAGGGGGCCAAGTGGGGGGCTCACGCAGGGGGGCTGAGGGAGCAGGAAACAGAACCGCTCCCATTCCTGACCCCTCCTTCAGCCCGTTCCTGTCATGAATGGTCAGCGGCCAGGGCTGCAAGGGAGCTGTCCATGGTGGTGGTGCTGGGGCTCCCTGCACATCTCATTTCAGGCCTCTACTCTAAGTGCAGAGGTTCAGAGCTGGGCTGTGGAGCCAGGGGGCCTGTGTTCAAATCCTGGTCTTGTCACTTCCCAGCTGTGTGGCTGTGGGTAAGTCACTTAACCTCTCTGTGCCTCAGCATCCTCACTTATGGAATGAGGGTAAAAACAGTTCCTAGAAAGCACGGTTGGTTCACAGAGTCGAAAACATGGTGTATCTAAAGCACTTGGAATAGTAAATACATAACAAATGCAGCAAGTATTACTTTTAGAGCATAGCAGTGAAAAATCCAGGCTTTGGAACTAGGGTCAGAAGGATCTGGTTCAAGTCCTGGCTCCACCACTGAGAAGCTGTCCAATTTCGCGTCTCTGAGCCTCCGTTCCCTCACATGTAAAACAGAGAGACCCTGTCCACGGATTATGGTCGCGATAAAAATGAAGTGAGGTAAGCGGTGTGAGGCATGTAACACGAGACTGATACACGCTTGGGGCCCAGTGGAGACAAGCTTCTGTCACTGCTACTCCATGAGGCCACAGGACTCACCATAATGAAGCAGATACCTGACCTGGCGGCGCTCTTGGTCGAGCGGGACAATGGGACCAAGGGGTGACAATCCAATGTGGTGGGTACAATAATGGACCCTGCCTATGGCACGGAGAGGCTGGGGGCTGAGGTGCCCTGCGTGTTGAGGGACAGCAAGTTTGCCAGGCACACTTGGGGGGAGTGTCTGGTGCTCAGAAGACGGAAATGCCATCCAAGGGCCTGGCTCCACATCACGTGCATTTACCACAGGCCAGGCGCTCTTCTCTGTGCTTCACATTTTCTCGTTTAATCCTCAGATGACCTCTGAGTGAGTCCGAGAGTGTTCCCATTTCACAGATGAGGAGCCTGAGACACAGAGACGACTCCGCTCCTTCTCCATGCTCCCAGAGGAGTCGGCGGAGGCCAGGTCACGGGCGGTCTCAAATGCCACCCTGGGATTTTGGATGATTTCCTGCTGGCAGTGAGAATCCAGACAACGAAGGGCTGTCAGCGGTGATGAGATGGTCAGATGAGGACAAGGGGGGGCTGGTGGAGGATGGGACGGGAGAGAGGAGGGAGGGACAGATTGATGAGGACGGTGTGCGGGGTGCAGGCGGAGAGGAGGGAGTAGATGAAGCCATGGTGAGAGGGCAGAGCGGTGCATGAGCTCACCATGCTAAGTGCTGGGTAACCCTCAAAACCTTATTACTATTATCCCCAAGTTACTGATGAAGAACCGAGAGTCAGAGAGACTGAATGACGTGCCCAAAGTCACGTGGTTGATCAGCAGGTAGGATGGGATTTGAACTCGGACAGCTAACCCAGGCCACTCAGTTAACCATTGCCCTGCTCTGGACAGGAGTGGGGGGACAATGGAAGTGGGAAAAGAGTCAAGATAAATCCCAGCATACCACTTCGCACCGGGCTTGGCATACATGCCGATAGGTTCCCATAACTGTAGGGTGAGTGGATGAAGGGGGGCAGAAGGGAGGGAGGGAAGGAGGGTGGGAAGGTGG